ACGACTTGTTATTCTACCTTTTTCCATGATATTCAGGTTAAACGAAGCGCAAATGAAAATGATGAGTGAAATGACTTTTTCCTCTCAATTCCATCTTGTTTCTTCCCACAGTTTGGAGTAAAAAAAGATGGACAAAGTAATGAGTTTATCAACTAATCGAGTCAAAATGATAATTTAACCTTTCCAACGTTAAGTGGTCAACAGTTGAAAGTAAAAGTCAATCGATGAGTAAATGATTATGACAATTGAAAAATAATTCAATATCGAGTTCGATACATTTTCCTCTTTCCTTTCAATTTCTTTCCTGTTTCATCAACCGCAATTAAATTATCGGTCAACTCGACTTGTCAGTCGACTCGAATCATTTCAATGTTTCTTTCGTTGGAATAACTTGAAGCAAAAGAAGTAAAATTTCAATTTAAATCATTGAATCAGTTTCTCCTTTTGATCGCCAACTTGATGAGAAAAAATGGAATCGTCAAGAGAATCAAATCTCAAGATTTGCAGAATGAAAATGATTATAAGAGTAAACATTTTGCTTAATAAAACTTATTAAGCACTTTTGTCCAGTTTTATTTTCCCTGCTCATGTTGACATTGACAGTACAATGATGAAAATGATGAGCATGATGCTGATGAAGAAGATGAAGAAAAAGTGGTAAACATGGTGAAATTCAAAAGGTAAGGTAAAAGTGATTTCTTTGTGAGAAGAATCGAGGGAAAAACGAAAGCGAAACAAGATGAAAAGCAATGAAAATGACCAAAACTAAAGACTAATGAGTTTACCAAGCATTTTTTTGTTGCATGAAGAGTCTTTACTGCTGATTGAATCAACCTTTTCAAACTGAATCGGTCTCTCAAAATGGAATGTATCTCGAAATGAATGTTGTATTCGATGACCCAAAATGTGATACTTTTGTCTTTTCCCAGTGAATCTGTTGATTGAGATAAACAATTGTCTTCATCTGTTTTTCCAGGCAACCGTTAATTAGTGGCCAGTTTAATGGCCTTTATCATGGAAAACCATTTTCAAGAATTAAATGCAAAAAATTAATGAAACCTCATTTAATCGCATCTTCTACTGCTCTCCATCTCAATGACATTTGTGACCATTTTTACTCTTCTTTTTGGTCCAATTGGTCGATTAAAAGATTCATTGAGATTCATGAGCATGGATTCATAAGCATTACCTTTTCAGTTGCTCTTTAAATCTCACTGAATGCTGTAGCATTGAATTTTGTTTTCGTTTCTTCGGTTTACCTTTCTTCTTGCTCTTCTCGAGTTACCGTTCATCAATGTTTATGTATGAGTCTCAATGATTACAACTTTTCTGTTGCAACAAAATGTGAAAATGATAATGTTTCAGAATTCATCAGATTAATGCAAAATCATTGCATTTTTTCCCCACTTTTTCAGATTCTCTCACAAATCGCTTCTTTTCTCATCCTTCCAGCAATTGTAATCACAGGTTGTCTCGATTGTGTCCACAATAATCAAATGTAAACCTCAACTTTTTGTCCATTTACATTGCATTCTCAAGAGAATGGTAATGTGATTCATGGTCAGTCAAAAGGTGGACAATTTCGTTTCATAACAACTTTAATATGTAAATGTAAAATGATGTGTCAAGAGAGAGCGTGGAAAACATGAAAAAGAAAATGAATGGAAAAAAATGAATAGATATTAGCAAAAGGACGAAACGAAACGGAAAAGTAAAAAAAATTTCATTCTTCTCGTCCATTCAAAAAATGTAAACCTAACATCAAGTTTAGTCTTCGAATTTTTCATTCTAAAAGTTTTTCTTTTTCTGTTTTGTATCAACATTTTTTCCTCTCCAAATACGATCCTTTAACCAGCGATGAACATTTTGCTAGTTAAGCTTCTTCTCGTATCTTTTGAGGTTTGTATTTTTGGATAATGATGCTCTTGACTCGACTCTTTACTCAAATTGTCAAGTATCTGCTTTCGATTGACAATTGAAGTTTTTCGTTCCCTTCTTATACCGTAAACGAATCAATTCCAAACTCAACCAGATCACACAAGAATAAAGTTTTGAGCAGTCGAACTCTAAAAATTTCCTCCAAACTTTTTCGAATTCGATTGTTTCTTCATTATCGCCTTGTTTTACCAAATCTTTTACTCAAACTTCTCATGAAATATCAATCAACTCTGTTCATGTGCCATTGAAATGCGAATCCAACGCTTTTCAAAATTTCTTTATCTCAATTCCTTGAAAAATGTGCCAATCTTTTTCTTCTTGAAAACTCAATTTAATCAAACTCTTTCATCTCCCAACCTCAGTTCAACTTGATATTGAACTCTTTTGTAGTCTTTTCTTCATGAGAAAAGTTATTTTTAAAAAAATGTCTAATCAGATACATCACATTTATCATCAGCATATTATTCCAGGAAAACTTTGTCTTCCTCTTTTCATTTCCCTTTTCACTTTTCATCGCTTCCAACTTTCAACCTTTTTTTCATCTCATTCTTCATTCTCACCAGTTAACTAATCATGTGAAAACAAAATTAGGTATAAAACAAATTTCAACTAAATCTACCCAATCTCTGCTTCATCTTCTTCTTTATCCAAAGCACATATTTATTTTAAACAGTTAACCCAAAAAAGCACATGACACTTTTCCCTGTGGCTTCATCAGATTGTCTATCGAGTTCACTTGCCTATTCAGAGCATTGAGCTAAACTTTTTTTCTTCCATCAACTTTCATTTTCCCATTGAACCATCACTTCACCTCAACAGACAAAAAATGTTAACCAAATGAGTTTTCATAGTAACTGTATGAAAAAAGGCGAAATATGGAGAGAAAAAAAAGTTTTACAGAAAATCAAATTTAAATAAATTTGGAACTTTATCTATTAGAATTTTGGGCAAAAATGGAAATTTATTGATGATGAAAATGTACTCGATAGAAAGATTTACATTGTTTTACACGAAAAGTGAATGAAGAGTTTTCGTTGTTGCTCCAAACAAAAATTGAATTGAAAATGCTATTAATAGTTGTAACTTGTTTCAATCAAATTATCGTTATAACATTTGATGAAAGGCATTTCCTTTTCAGATTCTTTTGAAAATTGTCACTATTATTGTAATGAAATTTCAACCTTGAATTGTATTCATTGATCGATACAAAATTCATGTTCAATGTCTCAATCAGATTGACAAAATGTTCAAGCCGCAAAATGTTCAAATGTAAAGTAAGAAAGAGAGAGAAAAAAGAGTTAAAATGTTTCATTATTTTCACTTCTAGCGTAAATGATGTTATTGAAAATAAATACAAAAGTGAATATCAGTTACGAGTTGAATGGATTCTGTTTTCCTTCATTGAAGGCCAGGAAAGCAAAATATTGCCATTCAATTGTTAAACTGTAAAAAAGGGAATAAAACTATTTGCATTTCAATCGGAAAATCAAATGATGCTCATGATTGAGTGACATTTGTCCACAACTGCAAATGCAAATCAAACCTTTATTTTTGTCTCATTAATCTCAAGAAAAGTTATTCAAACAAAAAAAGCATTTGCTTAAAATAGCAAAATTCAAGAAAGCAACATTCGACGAAAGCAAAACAAAAGTTCATAACAAAAACAATCCTCAACATAAAGCTATTTCCATTTCGCAAAAAAACTTTTCTCTTCACGCTCAACTTCTGTGCGAATTTTAGACAAATTTCAAACACTCGACATTTCCAATTCAGATTGAAACGAATTCGAAAATTTAAATCTGCAATAAAAAGAGACAAATCAATTGAAGAATCATTGGGTTCATTAACTAACCACTCAACAAGATACTTTTGTTACTTTGATTGCTTCTCACTCCCAGCTTGGAGGGAAGTTTTGCTACAAAAAATGGTGAAACAGATTACTCTTTCAAGAGTTCTTGATCTTTCAGCGCTCAAAGACTTTGCCATTTTTTCATTCGAAAGCACCTTCTATTGAGCTTTCGAGATTCATTTTTTACAGCAAATCTCCCATCACAATATTACTTTCATCTATAAATCTTTTTCTTGGTGAGACATTCGCCATGGAAATTGTCTTGTAAACAGTTTAATCCTGCAATCTCATTAGAGATTCTCAGTTTTTTCCCTTTCATGGCAACTCTTTCACCTCTTACAAGTAAAACACTGTTACAAGTGCTGTTAAACCCAAAACTGGTCAACATTACTGTTTACAACACACTTACCTTGGCTACTGTTTTCACCCTGAAAACAAGATAATTATTGATGTTGAGTAGTTAAACTGTTTACACCATTATTCACGTATAAATGGCACTTTACGATGGGTTAATTTAGATTGCATGGGTTTCAATGAAACTGCAGAAAACTTTTCTCATTAATAAACCTTCTTTTCATGTGTCCATGTGATTGTCACCTTTTCCCTCTATTCTTACATGGAACAATGCATTATTTATTAATTTTCATTCGACACTATTAATTATTGAGTAGTCTTTTCATTGCACATCTCAATGAATAAAGTAGCCTTAATTATCCATTGAATAAATGGATTGACAAGTTAATGTTTCCGGCCTTTTTCCTCCCAAAAGCCTCCCACTTGATCATCATAATTTCCTCATCGTTTAAGGAACTTCAAGCAAACATGAATCTTGCAAATGATCATAATTACGAATATAAATTGAAGCAATTTTCCTCAAATTCAACTTTTTCAAGTTGACTTTTCTAACTCAGAGACAGTTTGCAATCTCGAAAACTATTTCTGGTTTAAAATCAAAGCTTGGATAATGAAACGAGCAAACTGAACTTTGAACCAAACGGCAGAGTGGAATGAAAGTTTTTCAAAATTTTAAGTAACAGTTGAATGTTTGATGTTAAATTGAAAAGAATCGACTTTTGAATTTGTTCTTAAAGCAAGAAATTGAATCATTTTTGATTATCTTTATACTGATGTTGGTCAACATGGGATTTATCGTCTTCTTTCACCGAATCTCAACTTTCAACTGATCACTAATTAACCTTAATTATCTTTTCAGGTTCACCTGGCATTCAAATTAAGACTATCAATCAATTTGATGATGTTACAGGTAAGAATTGAAACCTTTGCTGACTCAATATGCTTTAAAGTTTCAACCATAAAATGTTGCAAATTTCATTGAACCTTGCATTTGCAGATTACATGAATAAATGAAGAGCGATTTGAAGAAAAGCAAAAAAGTAAAATCACAAGAAATGATGAATAATGAAACGAGTAAAATAATAAGAGTAATGATAATTATAACGAAGCATCATTTACAGGCATAAATGGCAGGATAATTCATTATTCATTTGATTGCCATTGCATCAGTAAATCTGTTTATGAAGAGAAAAGGATTGAAAGAGAAAAGTTGGAAGAAATGTTAGAAAAAGTTGTTTGAATAAGAATTTCAACTGACAGCAGAAAAATGAACATGATTCATTGTTGGAATTGTATCATAAATTGTTGTTCCATCGATAAAAAAAGGCAAGAAAATGCAACTAATCAGTTATTGTTGGTGGGTGGAAGTTATTGCAAACTGAATTGAAAGAAGAAGAAGAAATGTTCAGTTAATCGGATTTAAGATTGAGGTTTGTTTTCTCAGGTAACTTTTCTCTGTTTTCCAGCAATTTGTTAGTTGGAAGGAAAATTGTTTTAAAAATGAAACAAAAGGTTATAAAATGAAATATCTATCAACTCTATTTGGGTTAATTTTTCTTTCTGTATTATGTTTCAGTTTTGAATCGTTTTACTGCATCATCTGGTTCTCGTGTTGAACTTCCCTGTGACCTCACAATTCCTTCTGCAGAGGATTCAATTAGTTTAATACTTTGGTACAAAAATGATCGCAAAAGTCCTCCCATTTATAGTGTCGATGCACGAAACTCACCCGTTGAAAAGGCTTCCCATTTTACTGCCGATGAGTTCAAGAATCGAGCCAAATTCAATTTATCCGTCCGTCCTGGTTTACTTTCCATTGAACCTGTTCACCAAGAAGACACTGGACTCTACCTTTGCAGGGTAGACTTCAAATGGGCAAGAACAGTAAATACGTTAAACAACTTGACTGTTATCGGTAAGTTTTATTCTCAACATTATTCAACCTTTGAACATTACTCGTGTCAATATCAGTCATTCAAATTGTTACAAAAACTTTGCATTTTCTTCGTTCTTGAGCATTGTTTTTGAAGACTGATTGTAGTCACAGTAAACTGACTTTGCTTTATAAATTGTGATCAAGTTTATTGCGATGCAAAATGATCACATTAGAAAAATTATGCGTCATTTGAATTGGAACCGATTCTCGATGTCAATTTTGATCGATTATTTTTTTCCTTCTAAGTCGTGTTCTGAAATTGGACAGCTTTTGCCCTTTCTCATTGCTATTAATACAGCTTATGAAGATGAAAACACATTGTGAACTTATTTTAAGAGGTTGCATGAAATAAGCAGATTGACTTCCTTATGTTTAACCAATTTAAAATTCAGGGTCAATCTCAACCTTTGAAGGAATCCACTGGAGGTTATTATGCAATTTACTGGGTCAAACAAAGGTTAATGCTGTCAAGTAAATTTGTGATTTAATAAGATCACAATTTTCCCTCTACTTTCATCCCCATTTCCTATCCTCTTAGAAACCTTAATTTATCTGATTAATTTTTCTACTGACAATGCGATTGAAGTTGAATTGCGTTCCGTTTCAACTTGCGTTGACATTTTGTCCTTGTTTTCAACTTCCCACAATTATTAGCTCAGATAGTATAAACACATCCAAAGTGCTCAACTTGAAAAGCAAAAGCATAAAAATTGCAAGAATAGTCTCTGACAAGTTGACTCGATCACAGCAACAATTTCCTAACGGCAGAACTTAAAGCAAACGAAAATTCGCATATTTTCTCAATCAACTCATTCTCAACATTATCTCTAGAAATCTATCAAATACATTTTTCAGTTTCTCAGAAAATAATTTTTTAACTCCCTGAAAGATTCTCTGTCCTACCAAGTTAACGATTATCTATGTCAAGTAACAATAAAAGAGAAGATGCAACTTATGCAGGGAATAAAAGAGAAGAAAAGATTCCATGTTTTTTTCAGTCAACATTCCAACATTTGCATTTGCCTTTTCCTCTATCATCTTAATCATTCTTATTCACATTTTTGTGTCTCCCAACAATATAAGTCACTTAAAACCAACAACAAGAACCAGCAAACCAACAACATAACAACATTATAAATCGCATCTTCACAAGGCTCTTTGTTTCACTTGCCTCTTCTGTTCATTTATCTTGTATCATCTTTCGCCTTCACTCTGATAATGATGACCCTTTCCAACATGTTTCATCTTCTTCCCGTCTTCCCAGTTTAACCATCTTCTTCTTCTTCTTCCTCATCCCAATCAGATCGATTCTAGTAAAGCATTTTCTTTCCTTTCTTTCTCTTCTTATTTTTCCTCTCTTCCCTCATCATCATTATCATCACCATTCCTTGTTGCTTGCTGGTTGAGGTTTGACAATGAAGTGAAACCAAACTGACATCAAGTACAAAATTAAGGTTAAAAACAGCAATTCTTTTGCTTTTTTACTTCACAACTCTTCTCATCCTATTATAATAATAAATATCATCATCACTTAATGGTTATTGTGATGGTGAAATGTGACGCATTGACATCACTAATAGCTGTGAAATTTTCATCATTATCATTAATATTAACGATCATGAATGTTTCATTATTAAATAATTAAAGCAGGTTAACAATGGGTAAAGATTATTATTTAACAAGCAAGAGATGGAAGCAAGAAAAGGTCTTACAACCTCAACGATGAGTAAAGTTGAGTAACATTATTTTTATGTAAATTTGGTTATGCTAATCAGCTTGCAATTTTACTATCATTTTGCTTGTAAATAGAGAGGAATCTGAGAGAATGGCAACTTTTCTCATCTTTTATTAAATTAACATTTCTTTGTTTTCTTTACAATATTTTTCAAGATGAAACTGAATCATTCACAGATTATTGTAAAGACACTTTTATGTTTCAAACTTGGCCAATCATTGAACTTGCGTCAATAATTGCATCAACTTCGTCAAAGCTCAATCTTTGACTTATTTGAATGTAAAGTTTAATTTAAATAGCGAGATTTAAAGTAAACTTTGGGTTTAAGGAAATGATTCAAAGATGCATTCTTTATAACATTATTTCAACTCATCTGATTACTTGTTTGCAATCTTTATTGGAATATCTGTTGGAATCTGTTTACCTTCAAGGTAACAATAATAAGTGTTGATCGCGATGATTGAAGGTAAAGAGGTGCAAATAGAAAATTTCCCAATCTGGATAATTTCTCTCTTTTCACTCATGAAAATTGTTTGCTCGAAATGATAAGAGAATCCTGAAGCTACATTTCAACGATTCCAGTGTTGCTTTGGACAGAATTTCAACAAAATCATTGAATCATTTGATTAGTAAAAAGGAAAAATTTTGTTTCTACTTTTCTCTTCGTTTTCTGCCATTCTTTTCATCTTTCCAAGTAAATCTCGTTCATCTTTAATTTCGCTCATCATGAAAAGTGAAGTTTTAACTGATAAAGATTCGTCTTGAAGATTGTTCCATGCGAAGTACAAAGTTGGATGAATAAAGGTTAAAGTATTCAAAATTACAATGCTAATGTTATCAATGAATTTGGAATATTTACAGGAATAAAGTTTTTTGTTTCAAGTTTATTTCATCAATTGTTTCATTAGATTAATCAATATACAGTTTTGCATTTAGAATAAATTCTTTACTTTTTACCAATTTCTCGAGCTTCAATAATTGTGCAAAGCTAAACTTATTGAATATTAAATCGTAACCTCAAAACTGACTTAGATTTTCTGAGCAAGTTAGTTTACTCAATTAGAGTTCTGAATACAGCATTTCTCCTTGACTTTAGACAATTTGCCGAAATGTGCAGTTGCCTTCTTAAAATGCTTCAACAGTTATCATATTGTTCATACCGATTCTCAGATTATTAGACAAAATGAATTCCAAAACTTAATTGCTTATTGTTTTTTTGGAAACAAGGCTCAAGATATTTTTCTTAGGTTAGATGCTAGAATAGTTCTAACATCTTTGATTTGCGCCATTTGTGCTTCTTTACTTTTCAGATATCGATCAAAAAAGTGTTAATAAATTAGTTGCTCGACAGTTTTCACTCAAATTTTGCGTTCATTTGGAATTAAAAGTAAAATGGAGTGAATTTGATGCACAATTAACTTTTGTTTCTGAAAAAGTTGAAAATGCACAAAAATGTAAACACTAAATGAGATGAATAAAAAATTGAGAAGAAATCATTGAATCAAAGGATAACCATTGAGGTGAAGTTTTTCAAAGCATAAGTTTCCAAGAAATGAAAAGACGAAAAGGCATTGAATTAATAACAATTGGTTGACTATCATATTTCAAGAAAAAATTGCATGTCAAGTGTTTCTCTCAATTGAACTACTCATTAAATGAATATGATTAACAATTTTGATAATGCAAACAGTTTTGTCGGTAAACATTGTCTACTCATTTACTTACTCCCAGACAGTAGATTAAGATGTAAGAAAAGAGTTGAAATAAAAAAATATTGGCTACATCAGACAACGAATAAAAGGAATGAAAAAAGTTCAAGTTGTGACAAGAGATCCAGTATCTCGGTTCCAAGAGTGAGAAAGATGGGGAAAAATGAAAGATAGACATGCGAGGAAAGATGGAGAATGATATAAGGTCAGTAATAGGAAATGATAAAAATGAGATCACTAGACTGTTGTGACAGAATGTCATAAGAAGAAGACGGTAAAGTTGAATAAAGTAAAATGTAAAGATAAAGAAAGGGAAAGAGAGAGAAATCAATGATTGGACAAATGGTAATCTTAATAATAACGTTGATAATAGTAATAATATATCAGGTATCCAATGCTGAGACATTCATGTATCGTTTTTCTTCTTTTGTACAGTTATCAGCATGTCATGTTGAATCTCTTATTCTATCTTTATTCTTGTGCTTTGTGTCCTTCAACCAGAAATATCATCAGTTGGATAATCTGCAGAATGGTCAGTTTTTTCCTATTTCTTTTACCCCTCTTGGATACAGATAATAAGATCTGTAATGGACCATAATATATATATTTCTGTTTATAAACCATTTATATTATGCGATACAGATGCTTCGGATGACACTTATGGACAGATTTGATATTTTAAGGCTTCTTTTTTCGTTTCATTAGGAAGTTTTCTGTCACAATTTCCGATAACAAGAAGTTTATTCGGGTTCGACTGAGATTTTTTACTACGTGCTACAATCAGCTTACTATTCCTTTTTATCTAATAGATCCTTTACTCTTGACTGCGATAACTCCTCAAAATACCCCAATCCTTCAAAAAAATCAAATTGCAGTTGCCCTTTCAATGGGCAATTCAACTTTGATCCATCATGTCCAATGTCCAATTTATAATTGTTACTAATCTTGGTATGAGTGATGAACATTAGCCTAACACTATCGGGTCAGAAAAACTTTGCGAAGCAAGAAAATGACCTTCCAATGTCAATTAGAGGTTAAATAAAGAATTGACCTTGAATAACCTTGAGCACTCGAACTTATGGTTGTATAATCTAGATAAGCTTATGGCTTAAGTCTGAAGTCTGTAGCACTGACCGTTCGTGAGTTATGCCTACATGAAAGCGTAAAACAAAAAAAAGTCCGGTATGAGCTCAATTAAGCGTAGATTTATTGATAGCCTTCTCCGTGCATTCTGACCACCCGTAAGCTTTACCAAAATGGATCAGTCTTATAATCCATTTCTAGAATCGATTTTAGTATTTCTTGCTGATTCCACCTGATTTTATGCAAGTTTGAAATCAGTTTGTTGTATTCAATTGAAATAATTGAAATTGTTTTCCTACTGAACAAATCTATGTTTAATTATTTTATTTGTTTGGATCTAATTTTTCCTCTTTTTTTCGCTGTTCACTCTTTCCCATTTCAACTCAAATTTCCTCTTCATTGTGAGTCAATTAATCAGCCTAAAAAACATTGCAACTCTTTTAGCTTGTAAACATAAACACAAGCATACACATTGGTCAATCGATAAAGCCAACAGATTTATTGTGATTGAAGAAAAGAGAAACAAATAGTTGAAACGAAAGAAAGGAAAAAGCAAACATTCTAACTTTGAATTTCAATTCATTTCATGTAATCTACATTTTTGGACAATCTCTTTTCATCTACCAATAGAAGAGGGAAGCAAAAATTAAAGAGAAAATCAAAGGCAAATCAAGTTTGAATCAAAAACTATTCAAACTTTTTTCACCATTCACCTTTTTGCAAACATCAATTCAAGTTGTTTCATTTGAAATTGTCAAAATGTGAACAAGAAAAGGCAAAGTTGACATCAACTCGAGATTACATTTTCATTCAAGTTTAATGGCTTTCATCAATTTCATTTCATCAACAATATTTTCATATCAATAGTCACTTGAATGAATGAACATTGTCAAAACTGTTGTGAACATAAATTGCCATTTAATTAATGCATCACTTGATTGATAGTTTTACTCATTAAGATTAAATTGATCAATCAATAACACGAGAGAAGCAACTTGTCACTCTGTTTGCACTTCAATAACGATAAAAGCTTAAAGTCAAAAAACGAGAAACAAAAAGAAGTTCAGATTATTAAAGATTAAATTTTCATCACCAAAGTCATGAAAGAGTCCAAAAGGTTATAAGACAGTTGGCTTATTAACAATAAAAATGGATAAAATGTTAAAAAAATGGAAGTTCGAAAAAACTTGTTCGATTTGTTCAATGCGAATAAAGAGATTTGAGAAAATATTTGCTTATCTCAAGATTAAATGATCTCGAATTTCATTCAATTTCCTTTTTTACGGAAACTTTATTTTTGTCTTTTCCTACGCATTCCAACGATAAACAGATTGAACTTTGTGTTTACTTGAACTGATGAAAGGAGAGCAAGTTTTCAGTTTTCAATAAACTGACACATTTACCGGTTATTATTGAACGTGAGTTGAATCCAATAATATTGAACTAGCGTCAATTGATGAGCAAATATCATTTATACTGACCAAAAGAGCAACACTTAGAAAGTCAGAAGAGAAGCAAAAAAAGTGATAAAAAAAGTATTTGAACCAGTAATGGAATCGAAAGAAAAATTGGATTGAATAAATGGCAATATTGATACTCAACCTGATGCTGATTTCATGAAGATAAACACTGAAACTAGTTTAAATGTTGAAATGTTTCTTCATGACTTTCGTTTCTCACCAAAAACCAATTGTAACGAAATGTTTCCATGAGCCAAAAAGTTGAACCGAAAAAGTTTTCTAAAGAGAAGCAAAAAAAACGAAATAAAACTAATTGATAATAACATTACGTGATTGGTTAACATCAGCGTTATAGCTTTTTATAAAAGATAAAATATTGTTCAAAGGATGAGTGGAAACGGTGAGAAACCAGGAGAGAAAAAAAGAGAAAATCAATTGAAAAATGAACTTGAATCAAGACAGCAAAACACGATAAATATCAATAGAAAAGTAAATGTTTACATCATTTTGTGATCTTGAAATTTTCTTGCTCTTCTTTTTCACCTGTTTATTAGACAAGCTTAAAGTTTTATCATTTTCTTGTGATAACTTTTCACTCCCAGGCCAACTTATCATTCCAATTGAAAATCATTTTTATTCTCATCATCATTCCCTGTTAATAACATTAACAACAGCCAATTGACTTTATATTACAGTTTTACCTTGTTTTCTCCCAGTTTCATTTCGTTTTCTCTTTGATATAAATTTCAAACTTTATTAGTTTCTCTTGAAACCTTTTCTTTCATTTCTTGATCGCTTGCACCCAAACTCTGATGAAGCCAAAGTCGAAAATTATGATAAAGAAAACTATTAAATTTAAACTCGAAAGTTAACAATAATCAAGAGAAAAGAAAAGAAGAAAAAATAGTTTTAAATCATCTTCGTTTTAAGAGTTTTCTCATTCTCTTGCTTCAAATGGATTCCAATAACAGCAGCTATTTACTTGAAACGACAAAGTACGATTCAGAAAACAACATCACAAAAATGAACTGTAAATGAAAAGAAAAGAATCAAATATCAAAACTTTTTTTTTCTCTTTTACTTTTTTCTATTTAGTTCTGAACAACAACAAAAAGGTAAAATGAAAGAAAAAATATTAGAAATGAAAGAAATTCCAGAGAACAAGAAAAATAATAATAATCAGACAAATCACTTTTATATTACATTTGGGAACAAAAATGCATCAATGAGCATTCAGTTGATGAAAAAGAAAAACTTTCGACAAATTTTTTTCTCTTTTCAAGAAAAGTTATTTTCTCTTTACAATTTAAGTTTGCAAAAATTTTTACCTGAAAAGGTGTTTTGAAACAAGTCTTGACTGTGACCGAGTTGGGAAAACTTATAATGTTCAAATGGTGAAAGAAAAGTAGAAATGAAATTTTGTTTTGTCTTCTTTTCTCATTTGTTTCGTCTCTTCTCATTAACAGAACCAGCGCCAACACTAGAGTCTTGCAGCATAAGCAATCAAACGTCAACTTCATTTCAAATTGAATGTTATAATCTTTACTCGCTGGTCACAACCAGTGATGATAAAGTGGACAAAACTTATCGTAACAATAATGTTACTCATGGTTTGGTTAAACCTGATGAATCGTTGCCTTTACCAGTTGATCATACAACCCAATCTTCACACTTGATTAACAATAAAATAAATTATTTCCTTGAAGTTTATAGTTCTGATGTTAAAGATAAAATTGTTAAAAATTTAACTTCCAATGGAGCAAAATTTACTGTCAATGGCCTTCAACCCGACACATCTTACCTGATTCATGCATATTCAGGCAATCAATATGCAACAAGTTTACCAATAATAATTCCAACTCGAACACTTCGTCCCATGAAACACGGTAAACATTTTTTTTCTAAACCAAATTCCATTTCGATTGATTTCCGAAATTTGATGGAAAATGCAACAATCTGTTTCATGGAGAAAAAGATTGACTTTTTTCTCTTGCAACGTTTCCATAAATAGTTTCAAGTTCAAGTGAAGAGCGAAATGGAAAAGAAAAATTCAATTATTTTCCACTTTTTACATTTTTTTCGCTTCGATCAATTGATTATCTGATCATTAAATCGATTTTATGTTTTTACTTTGTTTTGTTTTTGCCTTTTTTTGCTCTTGTTTTGCTTTCGAGGGAAGAAAAAGAAATGATTCTGTTGAGCGATAATGGAAATCAGTTTAAAAGTTGAACAAACTTTTCTGGTTTTTACCATCAATTTACATGATGATAATCATCATCATCATGAAGATGATGTACAAAAAGAGAAAGTACTAGTAAAGTGTAAGGATGCATGAATAAAGAGGGAAAAAAATCTTTCCAGAATAAAATGGATTCATTATTATCCGTAATCATTGGTTTTAATCAGAATTTTGCTTCATTTGATTTGTAGTTATTTCTTTTTATTCTGGCTTGTTGTAATTGCTTTTCTTGAAATTAATATTCAATTCAGTTGAATGAGTCTTGTAGAACTTGTTTTCCTTTTTTTTCGATTTTTGCTCCACTTTTCAACATTTCTTTTGTATTTTATTTGCTAATTTTTCTTTTGCTTGTATTTACATTTCAGATCCTCCAGTTTCACTGGAATTTTGTTCAATATCAAATAAAACGATATCATCATTTGTTGTTAACTGTTTTGTACGAGTTGAACAAGCTCTTGGAGACGAATCAAACTCGTCCGTTAGGTTGCACCAGAACAAGAGTGGAAACAATTTCAATGATAACAAGACTGACGGATCGTTTGAATCATCTTCAGTTGCAGCAAATTCTGGCTCTAGTAAAGCGAATCGATTTCATGTTGAAATTTTCAATGAAAAAAGTAAACGACTAACGGATAATCTTACAAATAGTTCGCCCTTTTTTTCGGTCAGTGGCCTTGAACCTGGAAACTCATATACACTTTATGCATACACTTCAAATTATATTAGTAAAAGTTCACCTTTGACGGTTAAAGTTGACCTGCCTTTAGCTCAAGTGCCAACCGTACCTGGTAAGTGGACTAAATTGATTCAATTCTAGAAATGAACTTTTTCGAATCACAAAAAGGACTTTTTATTTTTAAAACCTTAAATGGCTTAAACTTTTAATGGATTAAAAAGCTTGTGTTTGGTAGAAGCTTAACTCGCAACGAAGATTAAGACTTTTCTTTGTAAAAGTAGACTGATTCAAAGTAAAAATACTGTAAGGTGTGTTCTCAAGTACCCTTCAGTTACAAGAGTAAGGTTTCGAGTTATTCTCATTCGTTTCTCGAACTTTTAGAATAAATTCAGCTCGATCTGAAAGTTTAAATGAGAAAAAATCAACAGATAAATTTTTACATGGTGAATGTTATTTTCTGACGGAGAAACGAAAAATAATCTTTTACAAGCTTGAAATTTCACCAATTGCAAACTATTTCCGAATCAAAAAAATGCGAGATTCCAGATTACCATGAAAATCGATTGTGATTCCCTGTTTCTTTCAAAAACTAAACAACATTCAAAAAAACAAAACAATTCAAATTGAACACAAACATGGTAGCAAAGCACGTTTTCCTAAATTGCATGATTTATGGCTTGTTTCTCTTGATTTTGAAACAAACAAATTTGTAGGGAAAAAAATTCTTCTGCATCTGGTTCTCGTCTTTTCTGAATATCATGAAGTTGCAAACTTTTATCAATGTGGTAAAGAAATTATCCATCAATTTGATTATTCATTGTTGATTGCAAGAGAAACACCAAACATTGTATACTTTTTTTTGCCCTTTGATATCTCATTCAGTGCGCTAATCCAATTCACAAATGTTTTTTGTTGTTTCATTCATTTAACTCCATCAAAATAGTTATAACTCAATATGATGTATTAGTGTTAGTGTTTGTCTTTAATAATGTAATAATATGTTTACTTATTATCTTATTGTTATTTCCTTGCCTTTCACTTTTCCATGTTACACTCCCTGTTATTCAGCCTTGGAACCCATTATACCATTGGAATCGTGCGTCATAAGCAATCAAACGGTTGATTCATTTCTCATTGAATGTTCACTGAAACAGTTAACCAGCTTAAATATGAATGTTTCATCACAATCATCTCTAACTGGTTATCCATCATTTTCATCCCCATCTTCCTCATCATCTTCTGTCAATGAAAAATTTTCCCAGTTGATCATTTTATCCAATTCATCTTTCAATCCAAACAACATGTTCCAAGTAAACTTGAATCAAACCTATCATGTTCAAGTTTACCATTCCGAACGAAACGAGCTGATAATCAATCAAACTCGACCCAAGCCTCAATTCCTAATCACTGGACTCGAGCCAGAAACTTCATACCTCATATATGCATATACAGCAAATTTGCACACAAAAAGTGATCCAATAAAGTTGACCGTAAAAACGGTTCACCCTGCTCAACCCAAGCAAGGTAAAGTCGAAATTGAAAGAAAATTTTCTCAAATTCTCTCATAACTTTTTCTTCTCTCCACAGATGAACCACAATTGTCTTCAGTGCCTTTACAGTCTTGCAGCATCACCAATCAAACCTGGGGTTCATTCATAGTCGAATGCATTGCTGGAACATTTTCCCCTGAAACGAATCACTCTTTACCCGATAGCAACAGCCACTTGCCTTCATTGCCATCATCTTATTTATCAACTTTAAATCCAAATGTTCATCACACTCTTTACCCATCTTTACACAACTCTTGGCCTAACACAACTTCACTTAGAGAGGAAAACTTGAGCTCAACCACTGAACCCAGTGTGGACACTTTTGCCTTAAAATCATTTTCTAGTTCAAACAATAGTCACTCAATGAATAGCCATTATGCTCAAAACAAATATATTTATCATCTTGAAGTATTTAACCGAGAAAAGGATAAACTTTTGTACAACATGACCAATTCGAGTCCAATTTTCGCTGTAAGTGGCCTTGAACCCAGCACATCCTATTTACTTTACATTTATACTTCCAACAAGAATGGCCTTCGAAGTTCATCTTTAACCCTTAAATCTGGAACATTGACCATGATGAATCGAAAACAGGGTAACTTCAATTTTCCAATTTCTTTTTCTCTTTCGCCCGGTCAAAATCTTGAACATTTCACCTTTCAAATTTGTAAACTTGGATAAATGTAAAGAAAACATTTCTTGGACTTTTTTGCCTTTTCATGTTCAGCCTTCACCTTTGACATGGTTATCGTTATCCTCAATTCTAATGTTATTATTAACATCACTCTGTTTATTCAAGCTTAAAATCAATTTACATTCCATTATTACAAAGGGAGGATTAACATTGTGTCAACCAGTAAAACTTTTCATCCTTTGTCTTATCAGAACTTTTCTTTCTTCAGTTGGAAATCTGATTCCTGGTAAAGAAAAGAACGGACAAGATGAGAGAAGAAAAAAGGGAAACAATTGTGATGAGAAAAGAAGAAGAAGAAGATGAAAGAGAAGTTGAAGCAAAAAGGAAAAGAAAACTGATTCCAATTTGTTTCACTCAACCTTTAGACTTGAATTTTCGTTTAGATCATTATTCAGTGTTCAATTTGGTGGCAACTTTATTTTACCCTAAAACATTTTCTCCAACATCGAAAAGAGTATAAATAGCAACTCGCCTGAAAAAATTAGCAACGAAAAGCGGATATTAAATTCCAAGTTCAATTGACTTTCAGTTTCAATTTGTTCCTCAGATAATTAAAGTTAATTCAGGAAATTCGTAATTATCAATTCCATTAATTCAAATTTCCAAGCAGAACTTTTAAAAAGAAAAGAAAAGAAAATTTTCACAAAAAAATGATCGATTGAAAAGAAAATTTCGCAAATGAATTTCGATGAATAAATGATTCAAATTGTCGAGTTTGATATTCACTCAACTTAAAATCATATTAGCTTCAAGTTACTAATTTTCATTTTTTTCTCTTTTTTTCTTTTCCACTGAAAACGGAAAACGGAAACTCGAAATATAGTCTGAACTTTTTACTTCTCTTTTTATTACCATGTAATAGATGGTAACGATACAGCAACTCGAGTAGGGAAGAGAAAAAAAAGATTGAAATTTTTTCTCTTTTCTTTTTACCCTTTTTCCTCGACGAATTTAGGTTAACCATTTTACTCTGAAACTTTTTCTGATCGCCTTTTTATTTCCACTTTGATTTCAGGGTTATCACTTTGATCCAAATCAATATCACAATTGAAACGGAAATGTGAAACGATTTATTTTGAGCAGCAAAATTGTTGAACCAAACTTTTGTCTGTCAAACGTTTCAACTATGAATAATTTATCGTCAAGAAATATTCAACTTTTTCCTTCCCTTCCATTCACAATTCACATTTACTCGTCACTTTCATCTCAATTTCTCAGTCTAATTATCATGTTTAACTGAAACTGAAACTTTTTCCCTTTTCGCCAACTTTATTGCTTCAATATTTTTCTCTTTTCTCCTTTTCTTATTGAAATAATTTCCATCTATATGCTTGCGTTTCACCAGAAAAAGAAAAAGAAACAAAAAAATATTTGTCACAATTTAACCATTTCTCTGCAATTGCCTGTCAGATGAACATGAAGAATTTGAAAGAGAAAAAGAATCGAAAAATTCTTTTTCCAACCAACATTCTTTACGATAATTTTTCAACTCAAATTAAATGCATTTCAAAAGCATGAGCTTCAATAGATTCTTTGCCTTTTTACAACTGAAAAGTTCTGCAAATTAAACTGATTATTCAAAAGCTGCTAAAGTGAAGATTGTTTTCTGAGCAAAACTCGATAACATGATGACAAATGTAATGGTGCAAGAATAATATTTTGGAATAAATTTTTTTGCTCTTTTTCCACCTTACGCTCGTCGAGACAAGTGAAGCAAACTCATTTGAATTGTACATTTTTACCTGAATATTTTGTAGAAGAAGAAGAAGAAAAAAACTTTTCTCTCAATCTTTATCCAATTTCAACATGATCAAATGGAAGGCGATAAAGAGAGTAAAAAAAGGCGAAATAAGAAAAGGGTTGAATGAAGAAGAAATGAATCAAGTTAAATGGGATGAAGAGATCATTTCCTTTTTCCGTTAACCAGGCAAATTCAATTGCCCGGAGAATAGTTTTACTTTGTACACAATTTTTTCTCCTTTTTTTCAGGGGGTAAAACTGTTCTCTCTCTCACTCTCTTAGCCTTCCAGTTATTACAGTTATTATTCCCTGTTTTTACAAGCAATTTCACATTCTGTTTATACACAACATTTGCAACTCAATTCTGTATCGATAACTGCAACTCAATGTTGATTCCCTTTTCACTTGGATTGTTCAACTTTACAATTTAATAGTCAAGAGAGTTGCAAAGTGCCACTCATTTAGTCATCAACTTGTCACCAGTCGGACTCGATCTTTTCAAAAATACCATGTAATTGAAGCTCAATTTTTTCGACTCAATTTTCTAAATGGAATCTCATCAAGACGAACATTCTAAGTGTTTTTCAATGTAACACTCCTTCCAATACTTTGTTTAAATTTACATTTTCAGCCAACTCTTCATTCCCACATAACTTGAAAACTCTGATAATTTTAAATTTCGCCATTTTCCATTCTCTTTATTTCTGCATAATAAATGGTAGCGACGTTGAGCAAAAGTGAAACTTTCCAGTGAAACATTGAAATTTTGCTAAACTCTTAACGAATAAACTTGATCTGGTTAACATCCAAAGTCTCATGATAACTGTCTTTTGGTTTTAAATCAATTTTTTCACAACTCAACTCGCTTCTCCTTTTAGTTGAAATGATTTTTATCCATCAACTATGCAGATGGTAAATAGTCGATGATGATCATGTTGATGATAGTCTCTATAAAAGTGTAGAGAATCAACATTTCCAGTTAATATTTTTGGAGCCAAGTAAAAATGGATAAAATGATCATAAAGCTTTTCCCTTTCATCATCATCTTTTCATTTTTGAAACTTTTCTCCTCTTCTTATTTCCTTTGCTTTCCCTTTGCTTTCAAGTATTAATTTTAAAGTGAGAAAAACTTTTCCCAGTATAACTTGCATTTACTCAACAATATTGATTTGTATAACTCGATTGATTTATGGTTTTAAAGTGTTATACCAATCTTTTTTATCATCTACATTCCTTTACCATCTTATCCTTCATCAACTTTTTTCTTCTTCTCTTCTCTCTTTTCACTCCCAGTGAGAAGAAAAACATATTTTCACTTGTTTTCTTCTTTTGCTGGGTCAAACCTTTTTTTTCTGCTTCTTTTTTTTCTCCAGATAATCTTTCTTGGTCAATATGTTACATGATGATGTTATCCGTATGTTTAAGTATTTGTTTCAATGGATTGTTTCACTTTTATTCTGTTCCCTGAAAACTTCTTTTCACCATCATTTATCTGGTTAAAAGTGAAAAGAAAAAGAGTTCAAAAATGTTCACTCACAGACAAAAACTCATGAGAACAAGAAAATAATGAACAAGAGAGAAGATGAACAAAACGAAACGACAACAGAAACAAATTAAACTTTTTTTTCTATTTTCATCTTTTCCAAGCACAAATTGACCTTTAAAGGTCTCACTTGTTAGGTCAATCCTTCAATAAAACTGGTTCAAACTCCCAGTTCATAAATGCAGAACTTTTCATTTTTTTTCTTTTTTCTATTTTCTCTCAAATAATCTCTTTTACATCATGAAACATTTTCACTGGAATTAGAGCTTTACGACTAATCCATGGGAGAATGAAAGTGAAACTGAACAAAATGCAACTTTTCTCTTCTCTTCCAAATTAACCCATATTTATTACAACTGAGTGATTCTTGAGATGAACAGCTATTTTGGTCACTTTTGATTCATCATTTTCCTTTATGAATACTCTATCAGTATAAATCATGTTAATTTGTCTAATTGTTTCACTGAAAGTTAATGAGATGGAAAATTTAAAACTCCATATTTTACATGAAACAAATCGAATCTAATTAGTTCAATGGATTGAGATAATTTACGGTGAAAAGAGATAAAAAATTGATTCATTCCAATTGATTTTCGAAAGAGAAAAAAACTTTTCCAAAAACTTAATAATTGCAAATATTCCAACAGATTAACATGATTAATGGAAATTTTGATAGATTATCAATATTTTGCACTCGAAGAATTCATTGATTATCAGTTGAACTATTTATTCAAATTGATTAAAGACTTAAAGTAAAAAAGTTTTTTTTCCATGCTGTTCAAGTGGACATGACATGAATTTTGACACCATATTGATTATGAATTTGATTAGAACAGAAAATGTTTCAAGTTGTTTTAATCATTTTTGAGTCAAGATTAAACGAGAAAAAAATTATTCATTAGCCGTCAATCCTGATTAGGAATAAAGAAAAATTAAAAACTTTTTTTTCTTTTCTACAGATTATGTCGAGGGTGGTGTCGAAGTTTTGGACTCTCGAGTTCTCATCTTGGTTCTTGGAGCAAGTTGCCTTTTACTTTTACTTGCTCTTGTAATTTTGATTATAATGAAGATTCGCAAGAGAGACGCCATGATATCCAATCGTAAACGAAGCGACTTGAGTGACTCGAGTTACCCAATGGATACACATCAACCGCATCAACAATCAGTGAACAAGGGTTACCCACATCGTGCCTCTGGACCTGAAGCCAGTCCTGGTTGTCTAACCAGCTTAACTCACCTCAACTCGGTTCACAATGCAAGTCCAACTGTACACAGTTTAGACAATGTTTTTGGCCTGACAAGTGATACTCTCAAGGATAAACTCAAGGGTGGACTTGGCCTTACATCAACCTTTACCGGGCTCATGGATGGTTTAACCTTGCGATCAGACAATGTTAACAGTCAAATGTCAACTGAACGAAACAACAATCAAAACAACTACATGAGCAACAACAACAACAATAATAATAGCAGCAGCAATGGTTCCAATAAATCTTTTTCACCCTCTGAGAATAACAATCCATTGGCCATTGATGTGGACCATCAACAACCTAAATGGATTCTTGTCAATTCAACAACCAATCCTGACGTTATACCAACCAAGGCAAACTTACCAGAAGGTATTTACTCATTTTGCAAGTTGAAACTTTAATGTCTTACAACTTTCATCATTATAAGACCAACAAAAAGAAAGCAACGAAAAAAATGCCATTTAAACATTCTTTAGCCAAGAACAAAAAAGGCAAAAAAAATTCATTCAAAACTATAATTTACAATTAAAGCTTCATTCTTGTCCATAATGATTGGATAAAAGTTGACAATTATTGCAGTCACAGTTAAGATTAAAAATAATGAGCAATTCGAGTTAATCAATAACGTCATTTCGTAATGAAAAAATATCAACATTCCAGTAAATATTGAGAGAATTTCGAAAAGAGAAACAAAAAGAAACCATTTCTGAATCACATAATTCCATTGGAAAATATCTTTACATTGTTTCACTGTTGACATTAACTCCCAGTAACTTGTTATGGATATTGCCATTGCAAGAGCAAAAAGTCAAACTCAATCAATTTCGTTCTTCTTTTTTTCCTCATAACCAAACATTTGCATCAACCTTTCATTTTGCAGACTAAAATTTGAGATTATTTTCACCGAAAATGGAAAAAGTATTTTCTCGAAAAAAGCTTACAACTTTCAATGTGTGAATAAATTAAAATAACTAATAACCCGTAAAAGATAAACTACTTTATTCGTTGACGTTTTCGATGTTAATATGCAAAGTATAAAGTTCTAACCAAATGATCTCATTAGCTTCATCTGCAAACTTTTTTTTCGTTTTTCCATCAAATTCTACAAACAAAATTGATCCCTTGCTTCCGGGTCTTGCGAGTCATTTCAAAGTGCAAAAAAAAGAAGGTGAAGGTGATGTAAACTCTAAATCTTTGAAAATTATTACCTTTATTGGAAGAAGGAATAATTCATTGAAACTTGAAAGATTATGAAAAGAAGAAGAAAAAGGTAAACTAACGAAAACAATGGTAAACCTTCAGGGTAATATTGAAATGCTCAATTTCATTTTGCATTTTCCATCATCTGTAACAATCATCTCCATTATTACCATGCAAAACCATTTCACCATTAGAAGAGAGAAAAAAGAGAGAAAAAAAGTTTACCTTTTCTCTACAAATTTTTATGTTTATTGCTTGCAATTTATTCAATATTTTACTCAAGAGGCTAGTTAATTTAACCTCTAATAGGAAAGTAATTAAATAGAAGGTTTGAAATTAAATGAAGAGCATTTCACCTTTTTACCTTTTCTCGTTCTCTCTCCGTCTGTTTGCCATTATAAAAGTTTATTATGTTTGAAGCAAGAAATGGTTATAAACAAGAAGCCAAAAGATGGGTAAAACCCAAAATTACAATTCGATTATCAAGTAAATTTGGCCAAAAATGCAAACTTTTTTTCTCTCTTTTGCTCTTCTCCTTCAATAATGAACCCTAATAACAGATAAACGTAATTAGATTCAGTTGAATAATGAATTCGAAAGTGGATCAAGTTTGAAAGTTTGAAACGAAACTTTTAAAGACTTTACTGACTCTTATCTGGTTCATTATTTTAAACATTTACTTCGTTTGTACCTTTGACCGTTTGCTTCATGATACAGGTGATGATGATAATGGTAATATTGATGAGATAATCAAGAATAAGAAACCATTTAGAATAGTGAAGCTTCTTTTTTTTCTATTTTTCGCCATTCTCTCAACCTTCCAAATGGTTGTATCAACGAAATTGCCCAATGAATGAACACACAAACTTCTTGAGTAATTACAATTTCCAGTAAAAACACAAGATAACTTTACCTGTTTCAAGATAATATTAAACAGAAACTTTTTTCTCTCAACATGGAAACATCAGAATACGTTGCTTCTGCAGTTCATTTGCTTCCATCATGATAACGCTCTAAAAGTGCGCTTAATCATTTTTTCAACCAATTTTCTTTTCGAAAAGTTGGTGAGAAGAAAAACTGAAAATTTGTTGCTCGTTAAACAGAGATGTTAAACTTGCATTTCTCATGATTACCTTTGTTCATTTTCATCTGCAATTCGATTCTTTGTAATGATCATTTGTTAGCTATTCAATAGTCTAGTTACCATTGTTGAAGAAAAAGTTAATAAAGCAATTTCGCCTTTTCCCTCATTTATCATTTCATTATTATCATGATTATACTAATAATTTCAATCTTTTCAGTTTATCAGTTTATCCATCAACTTTTTTCAAATTCAATTTTGAAACTTTTTTCTTCTTGTTCGTTAAATGTGAAACTCTTCAATTTGTTTCCCATGTAATCAACAATTTTTTCGAAACTTTTGTTGATTCCATTTTTTCCATAACATTCTTCAACACCAAACTTTTATTGACTCTAATTGATTAAGTTTATACTTTTTTCTTTATTCCAAGTTTTCATTCTCTCTCTCTCTCGCACCTTTTACAACTATAACTAGTAAAACATAATCGTTAGCTATTTTATACTCTTCCCTTTCGTGTTGATTTATGAACAAAAATTGTGAAAAATGTATCATGCATCATTACCAGTAGATCATCAGTAGAGTAAAAAGCAAGTGGAGAGAAAAAATTTCAAACCAAAAAGTTTAACTGAACAAGCAACCTTCAATACCTTTCTTTGTTGGGCTAAAGCCTCGAGTCTAAAGTGAAAGTAAAAAGCAAAATTGAACAAAATTATTATCAATTTAATACTCTTTACAAATCCAGCAAGTTTTATTATCAAGTTATCAACTTTGGTTTTTACCTCAATTGATGAAAGGGAAAAGTTTAAGTGAAATGAAAAAGTTGTTGGTAAACTTTTCAACTGTATAATTTTGTCTTAAAAATTTTTGTTCTTGCTTGCTACAATTAATGGTTGTGTTATCAAAAATTGCTTTATAGTATATACAGGGAATGAAAAAGTTACTCGTGGCTTTTTTCGACTTTTTTATTCGCATCAGCTCAGCTCATTATAGTTTTCACATAAATCAGTTTGCATTATTTAATGGCTGACTTTAAACCGCATTGGGTTGTGAAGTGACATTTAAAATGCTTATTATTGCATTATATTTTGAGTAGCAGGGAAGGCATTTAAAGAAATATAGAATAATTTTGACCTGAATAACATACCGGCCGTTTTTTTCATTTTACGGATGTTTGCATGCATAACTCAGGAACGGTTGCTGCTACACACCGCAGGCTTCAACCATGAGCTAACTCAGGTTGAAGAAACATAAGTACGGACGCTCGAGGTCAATCAAGGTCAAACCGCTATTTGATCTCTAATTGACAGTTGAAGGTCACTTCACGCTAGAGCAAATTTTTTCAGATGGTTTGATGTTTGTCACAATTTGAAAACTCACACCGTTGGAAGGATGCACAAACTTTCCTCAAAAACAATTGTCAAACTCTACAGTATGAAAACACACATAACTTCTGACCAACAAAAGTTATAATCATGCGACTAACATCAAGCCATCTGAAAAATCTGCTCTATCAGAAAATGACCTGCAAATGTCAATTAGAGGTCAAATAGCGGTTTGACCTTGAATAAACTTGAGCATTCGTACTTATGCAGCATTATGGTTATGTAATCTCAGTAAGCTCATGTTTCAAATTTGAGTTGTTTAGCTTCAACCGTTATGCCTGCAAACAGGCGTAAAATAGAAAAAACGCCCGGTATATAAGTGTCTATGCATCGTTCATTTAAGTCCATAAATTGTGAAATTTCTTATATCTTTTTCTGGTGCCTTACTGGACATTGATAAAAAAGTTTAGATAGCAAAAATCTTCCACAATACCATCCATGAACCATAGTTGTGGGTTAATTTAAATTTCCATAATTCAAAATTGAAATCAATTCAATTGAATCAGCTGTCCCAATGACTATATGATCATTATTATTGATTAATATTAGGTAACCGGTAATGTGTTTGTTTAATTATTTGTTTTCATCGTTTATTTTTGTTACTTTATGTCAAAATGGTCTTTTTATTAAAGTAAGAAAGTTTGTTTCAGCAATTACTATCGTATCGTTACTATCCATAGAAAACGTCACTAACTTACTTGACCATGCTGTTGCTCTGACCAGAGAAAGTTTTGTTGTCACCGTCAGTTGTCGATGACTTGGATTTACTATAAACAGCTATTTGATACTGACTGTTCCCTTCACCAGTCTTTCTATATCAACTGATATTAATGTTTACGAGCGCCCAAACAATTATCCAAACTCTTGAAGATAAAGGTGCATCGAACGCTAATACAGTAGAAACGCCAAATGAACGATGAATATATGTAAATCGGATTTTATTTCAAGGTAAATTGGGTGCAGAAGCTAGAAAGAAGAAAGAATGAATTGTTAATAATAAAATTGAAGGAGCCTGTCAGTTTGATTTTAAAAGTGGTTGATTCGATCTTAATTACTTCTGATTTAATTGCACCTTTAATTTGTATTATGGTTTTTGGCTGCGCTCGTTCAACTTTCTCACTGGGAAATCCACATCATTGAAATCAAGTGGATTTAGGTCTAGTGAATTTGCAGGCCATTCACTTTCTGCGATTCCGACTATTTAATCAATTTTTGGAATAAACTTTCAATAGTTAAATGGAATAGATTTTACAATGGGACGGAGACAGATCCTGTTGCGACCAGAATCACTTTAAAACATCAAAGCGCTCCAACTCAGACAATAATTCCAAGTCTAACATTTTTTGATAAACAAATTGATCTACATTTGTTTCGAAAAATGTACCTATTATAAGTCCAGCTAAAATAGTACACCAAACATGTACGCTCAAGGTCAGCCATGGTCAATCCTGTATTTGACCTCTAATTTAAATTGAAGGTCATTTTCTGAGTACGAAATCCTATAGATCGAAAAGTGTTAGTCACATGTTCGCAATTCCTATCATTGAAAAGATAACCGAAACTTTCTCAGAACCAATTTATCAACACAACTTTCACCTTCAAGTGTCAATTAGAGGTCAAACACCGGATTGACAATGAATGACCTTGAGCTTTTGTACTTATGGTATTTTACTTGCGAACAGTGATAAAATGAAAAAGCCAGATAA